GAGCAGACAACAGGAGTCTTTGTTTTTACTCCTGAAGATGACAACGATCAGCCTGAGCTCACTCTGTATCTCCAATCAGAATATGTGGCAATGTCTTTTCCCCAATGCGCTAATACTGTGTGCTCCAAAGTTCTGATGCCAAAATATGCTCCCAAGGCTAGAGCTGGCAGGAAGGCCCGTCCTGTGTAGTGAGAGGCCCCTGGGCTCTGGCCCTGGCTCTGGCACTTGTTGGCAGGGGTGCCACCTGGACTGGCCACCCCACTGAGCAGCCAGGACATCACTGCCTTGCTGGGCTCAGAATTCTTGGAAGATCTATAGGATCGCAGTGCAGACACCAGGCCGCACAGGGAGTCGCATCCTGGCTCTCTACCTGCTGTCTTCTGGCCAAAGGTCTCACACCAGATGTCCTCAATCCCTAGTCATTACCGAAGGCCCCGCCAGGTGTGTGCTCACTGTAGATGCCTTGAGACTCACAGGTGGAAGACGGAAGACGGACCTCACTTCCACTCCACCCTGTTCTTCTTTGAAGTGTCATCTGCTGGGAGCTACAGCTTCTCTCTCACTGAACCGTAATGATCATGGATTTTTTTTTTTTTTTTGGTACCGGGGATTGAACTTGGGTCCTTGTGCTTGCAAGGCAGGCAGTGGAACCACTGAGCTAAATCTCCAGCAGATCATGGATATTTTTATGAAACAGCCAGAGCACATTTTTTACTTGCATACCAAGGGCTCCAACAGGGCGGAGTGGGATAAATTCACTTCTGTTGTCTTCAGCACCCATCCCTGGGCCTGGCACAAAGTAGGAGCTCAAGGGGTTACACGGAACAGGACATCACAACAAATGAACAAAATTAAAGAACAGAATTAAAGTATAGAAGAATAAAGCCTTGTGCTGGTGATGGTACTGGAAAACAGGGACTCATACACAGCTAGTAAGAGCACCAAAGGTCCACCCCTTGTCAAAGCTGGCACCTACAGCGCTGCAGGCAGAAACGCTAGCCACACTAGCACAAGAGAGGCAGGGAGGCATGCTGGGAAAATCTCTGGGTTGGCAGGAAAGCCGCAGCTCCCAGTGATGCTGTGCAGCTCAGCCACGGGTCCTGGAAAGTCACTTCGAAAGTCTCCCAACATCAGGGTTTTTGTCCAGACACTGATGGAGTCAAGGTGATTGCTAGGACCCTATTCTGTTGGGCTTTCTAGATCAGACACCAGACAACAGGCTGGGCTGGAACGTAACTCCATGGTGGAGCACTTTCGTAGCATATCTGAGGCCCTAGGTTTGATTCCCAGTGCTGAAAAAAAATGGCAGCAGGCATAGAAATTGTCAGAGCTCTTTAGAATCAGACACGAGTTTAGGGTTGACCCTGTAAATTTGAGGGTCCTTGTGTTTTTGCCATGTTTTAAGGAGTCTTCATTCTGGAAGATCTAGCTCTTCTCTGCGGGCTGACTGTCTCACCTGCTGGCCCAGAGGATGCAAATCTTGTCACACCATCAGAGAAACATCAGAGACCCCGGCTCACCTGGACCTCGATGAGCAGGACCCAGCCACTCCGAGAGGCTGAGGAGAGTGACTCCACTGTTTTCCCTCAGTTAGGCTCCCAGGAAGAGCAGAAGATGTGGTGAATTCTACTTTGGGAACCCCCACCCCATCACAAATTACCCAAATAATGGGGAGTCCTATCTGATCCAACTAAAATCAAACAAATCACAAGTTCCATATTTCCTTCCTAGGCAAATCCAATAGATGCCTGATGACTAAAGTCATCTTCAACAGGCCTTTCCTGGTAGTTTACTTTCGGCAGTGTCTTTGATCAGGAATTGTGATAGATTACAGATCATGACATCCACAGAGGTCCAAGAGCAATACAGTCTTCTCGTCTATCTGAAGCAGGTTCTCACAACAAAACAATTAAAGGAACACGGGAAGGTGGTGTCCGGAAGAGGGCAGCCTCAGTGGGCAACAGATAAGGTGGGGTATGGTCTCCTCCATGCTGGAGCCTCAGCCCAACAGAGCCATGAGCACTGCCCTGAATTCCCACGCCAGAGGCCCGTGCGGACCCAGGGCACACGGCTCCACAGCATGGCAGCAGGTGGTGTGCGGCACACGAGACAAGGATCTATGTTTGCACTGCCAGACTTTTGGGCCTTTCTTCCCTCAACATGACTAAGATTTTCAGAGGAGCCTCTGGTATGCTGTTCCCTAAATTAATTTTTTCCCAGAGCATCACATCCCATGCCCATTGCTCAACAGCCTATCCTCTGAGGATCCTCAACGCCCCGATCTCTGCCCTCGATTCTAGAAACCACATCCAACATGACTACATTCACTTACTTAGGCTCCTTCCCAATAAAAGCCGATGCAAAGAAAGCCCCTGGCAATTGATGCTAAGCGCCCCAGCGCGTTAAGCGCACCATGGCCCAAGGAAGGATCCACAATGCAGTGCCCAGGACCGGCTTCCTGGCATTGGGGCTCCCAGCACTGCTGCCTGCATGGAGCAGGACTGAAACTCCTCAATTCTGGACAGTGTCCACCTGTCCAAACCAGAGCTTCCCAGGGCACTCAGGGGCCGCTCAGGAAACCTGCCTGGTTAAGAGCTCAAAAGACAAAGGGGTCCTGCTCTTTCCTCCTCCACCCGCAGTGAGAGCCCCTCGCCAGCCAGGGCATCAGCTCACCCCGCTAACCCGAGCACAACCTCACCTTGCACCGCCATGTCTGCCCTACTCCCCTCAAGGACAAAGGGCAGCATGGCATGGAGCCACCGAATAATCAAGTTCATGCAGTAATTCCCTACTGGCTCCGAACAGACAATTTCCCGGACTTATCTCAAGCTGGATGAGGTCATGGTTTCCGGAAATGAATTTGAAATTTCAACTAGAAAACTACTATACAAAGCCCTGACACTTCTGGGACTACAGTTATGTAATTACCAAGGATTCATCAATTCAAATACTGTACCTTCTGGTGCCTCTGTTTTTCCCATACATGTAGTCAAAGAAGCTATTGTTTAAAAAAACTTATTAAGACTCTATCCATAAATTACCTGTGAAGTTAAAGAGGAATAAAATAAGAGGATCCATATTAAACTATGTTATGCTATAAAATTATAATACAACTCTTAACAAACATGAGTCTCGTGGAAGTGCTTATTACTCAGCAGAGGTAATAAAACCACCCAAAACTGGAGCAGGATGTCTCCAAACAAAGGTCACCAGAAAGGGGCAGCTTCCTTCCCTGCCCTGTCCTGCCCTGCCCTGTCCTCTCCTGCCCCGTCCTTCCCTGTCCTGTCCCCCTTGTCCTGTGTCCCTTCCTCCTCCCTCCCTTTCTTTGTTCCCTCTCTTCTGCACTTTCTGTCCCCTCCCCCTTTTCTCTTTCTCTCTCCCCCTTCACAACTCTCTCCTTTTCAAGGCAGAATTTTGCCTTGTGTAGGGACCAAAAACAAAAAAAATTCATGTAGGGGGCACAGTTTGTCCCCAGCTCTGAGGTTTGAAGTAAACACGGGGCTCTGTGCCTGGGTCACAATCTCACCTGTTCCTTACATTACCATGGTTTCCCAGTGTAGGAGGGACACAGAGGACCAGTACTGTCCTCATTTCTAACACTCTGTGCTCCAATTCCAGACAAGTCGGGATGTGAAGACACTTAGGCCCCCGTTTAATGCATGACAATGTGCCCCACTAGATGAAGTATAGTAGTGAGGCAGGCCTGGTGGGTAGGGTAGAAGGGCCTTCTGTGTAATTTATTAAAATGAAGGAAACCTCAGGCTTCATCTTGTGATTTTAGAGGAAGTCAATCATGACCAGTTTTGCAGTTTAACTTGCCTACAGCTTGGTTATATCTTAAATACAGACTATCATTAATAGATTTTAAAAATGGCGTAACTGTTTTAAAGGAACAGTTGGGCTTTAAAAAAAAAATGTCCCATTATTTCCTCTAAAATCATGCTACAACATAAATTCCAGGCCCTTAGCAAAAAACTATGAGCTAAAACAACAGGAGGAAGTGTGAGCTCCCCCGTACTTCTTGTACAATAATGGAATTATTTATTATTCTATATTCTCATTTATTTTTGCTTGTTTTGTACTAATTAAAAATAAAGAAAATAGGTAAATTTAAAATAAAAAAATATTTCTACTCTGGCCTAATAAAAATTTAAAGGCAAACCGCTTGAACTAGGATTATTGCTTTCAGAACAAGGCACCCCTCCCTTTCCAACACCCCACCCTAAAATAGAAAAACACACACATCACAACCACACATGCTTTGTTTTCTAAAAGCAGGTGACCGGGGCTGTGTCGAGGCTAAGGGACAGAAATAGATTTTACTCCTGGCCAACGGCTCAACCAAATATCAGGGTAAAATTGAAGATGTTTTTGGAATTAGTGTACAAGCAGACACACCCTGTTTACCCTGCAAACCTAAAGAAAACGCACCAGCAGCTTCTGTACCAATGGCCTCTGTCCCAGAGCTGCCCTGGAGGCTCCCCAGGGACAGTTCCCTTCCCTTATCTATGACTCGTGGGTGCAAAGGGCAGAGATGTGACCTTACATGGAAAAGAAAGTCAGGAAAGGAGCAGCCTCAATTCTTTTGGACTAAATCCAAAAATAATTTTGAAAGAATGAGAATAGCTTTGCTTTTCTTCATTGCTGGGGATCGAACCCAGGGCCCTGCACAGGCTAGGCAAGTACCAGACCCCTGAGCCACACCCTCAGCCCTGAAAATAGGTTTCCAGTGTCCTTTAAGGCCAGAAGGAATTGTTCTTTGGCAGTTGGCCAAGGAGGCCGAAGTAAGCAGGATAGCAGAGTAGTCAGGGAAATAACACACCCTTCCACCAGGCTTCGGGTTTGTCACAAACACAAACGTGGCCTGAGCTCAAAGTGAACACCCCCAGCGATCACAGGGCAGGGCACACTGCGGTGGACAAAACAGGGCAGCCCCACAAAGCTCACATGCATTCCTGCAGGAGACAAAGAACACACACACACCCATGGCTCTCTCTTACCTCCAGCATGGGCCTGGCACTATCATGGACAGACAGAATGTGTGTCACCTTGTTCTTGCTCAATTGTTCCACATCTCTGGCATCTGTCATCGAAGACAGGGATGGACATTTTAATACTCTCTGTGAGACAATGTTTCTCAAAGTCTCGGCAGGAAACAATACAACATGACTTGCAGAATTCTCTCTAGAAACTCCATGATTTATCACCATACCCAGAGCAATCTAGATTTCAGGAATTCAGTGCTGCTTTTCTGTATTTTGACTAAATTTATTTCACATTGGTACATCTTTTGATGTGAAGTGTTGTTCTAAATCTGAACTGATCTTAGATTAATAAACATGGTAATCATGTGTGAGGCCATTTTATAGTCAGTGTGTGTCAGCTACAGATCCTTACGCTAGTCTTTTTTACATGAGACACATAACAATAAAGATATTTAAAATTTTTTAAAAATAGTTACCTCAATGCTTAGTAATCTAAGTTGAAAAATAAATACAAAAGACTTGCTTACTATAAGAGATAGAAGAGCCTGCCAGGTACTTCTTTACTGTGATATCAAAAACAGGGACAGAGACAGTGAGAGGTTGAGACAGGACTGTGGTTTATAATGCCTACATTTGCTCCAGAGCAACAGGGAAAATGGAACCTTTTCCAGAAATTACAAGCAGACTGTCAGTTCATTACAGAGACTCCACAATTTATTCCCTTCCACTGCCCTCTCCTGTGGAAGGAAGACAGAATGACGTGATCCTGAGTGGAGACTCTGCTGGTCTACAATCCAGGGGTCCATGGAGCAGGGGGAAGGAAGTCAGCTCTCCCGTGGTCCTGGCTGGATTACGCTCTTCAAAACAACACAGGGTGAACAAGATGAAGTGACAAGTTCCTCATTGGCGTGTTCCCAGAGAATACTGAGTGACAGGGGAGATTCCTGAGGGTACAATGCTAAGCAGAGGCATAAAAGCAAGGATCAACTGATAAATACAATATAAACTCCCTGTGTAAAAACATGCAAGGACAAACACACACACGGTGGGGCCTGGAGCGTGCAGACGCCTTGAGAGGTGGAGGAGTTACAGTGGCTTTGTCATTCTCCATGTGTGCAGCTCTAAGAGTTTAATGGCATCAAACTCAGGCAGGGGTGTTCAAAGGCCAATTCCCGAGCTTCAGTTTAGTTCCAAGTCTACCCTGAACTAAGAAATTTACATTTCTACAAGCCTTGAGGATGGAGCAGTATTTAAAAGACACTACTCCGAATATTCATCAACACCATGGAAAGTCTTTAAGGCAGCATTAGTATATCTGTCTTGTCAGGCTCTCCCACTGCTCCCGGCGTCTCATCTCGCACTTCGGATCCCAGCACACACAGCGCTGTCTACACCGCTGTCTACACCAAGTGGCAGTTCCAGCCCCGCCCCTGGAGAGCTGCAGTCAGCCAAAGGAGCTGAAGTTGGTGCCGCTTAGTCTGGATCTGAAACGCCACCCAAAGTCTACAAGTTGAAGGCTCTGTCCCCAGCCTGGCACTGTGGGCCCAGGTAGAAGCATTAAGAAAGGGGCCTGGAGGGGCTCCAGGCCACCAGGGTGGACCCTGATGGGATGGTGGGACCCTGTCCTGTCTCCTCTGCTTCCTGGCTGCCTGGAGGTGAGCACCGACCTCGCCCACCTGGATGTGCTGCTTTGCCTCAGGCCCACACACAGGCCAAACGCACCTTCCCTCGCCTGAGGGTGACGGTCTCAGGTCTCTGTTACAGGAAGGGAAGCTGGCCAAACAGGCAGGAGCCAGAGCCACTCAGAAGCTACAGGCAGCCCTGCACTTTCCCAGCTGCCGCCAGGGGAGCTGGAGACTCAGAGCCCGGAGGCCGAGAAGGCTGAGGGAGCAGCCCTGACGTTTCATTTTGTTTGTTTTAGTTTTTATTTTTATTAGCAAACGTTAATAAATTAATAATGATTACATTATAATAATGCAACAATGATTACATTCATTGCAGGGAGTTATCACGCCTACCTAACACAGCTCCTCCGTTCCTTTTGCGTCTTTCCCCTCCCTCCCTTCGTCTCTTGGTCCTTTTCCCATCTGGGAAAGACCTATCTCTCTGCTCCTCTTATCTACCTCTTATTTTGCCCTTTAATTACTTTGGGCCCTTTAATATTCTTTGGGCTTCTCACAAAAGAAATTTTAATAATCAATATTTGTTTAAATATACAGTTGGCCCTTCCATATCCATGGGTTATGCATATGAAGATTTCAACCAATCTTGGATCAAAAAAGTACCCGAAAAATAACGTGTGTGTACTGGACACGCACAAACCTTTTTCTTTGTCATTATTTCCCAAAAACACAGTATACCAAGTATGGACACAGCATTCACACTGCCTTAGGTTGTGCAAACAATGCATGGAGGACTGCAGTGTAGAGGAGGGTGCACAGTCCACACTGGAACTTTTTACGAGGGACTTGAGCGTGCCAGATTTGGGCCCCCATGGGGATTCCAGGCCCAGTCTCGTGGGTGCCATGTGGTTACGCCACCTTTTCATCTTACAAGCCCTTTACTGGGGTGCAATTCGCACGCACCGTGTGTCGTCTGAGGAGTGTAGTGCACTCAGACTTGTACAGCCAGCATCACAGTCTAACTTCAGAACACTTCCATCATCCCCCGGACATAATTTCATGACAGATTAAGGTTTTTAAAGAGTGGTTCTGGACTCAGAGAAAAGGGAAGCCAGCGAGCTGTGGGCAGTGCGGCCCGCCCGCCCACGTCCCTGCCCTCCAGGGTGCTTGGGCCACAGCCTGGCCACACAGTGCTTCACAGTGGGGACACCAGTGCCCGGCCTTTCACTCCCACGGCTCTGGGGCAAGTGTGGGCACTGTGGTGACGCCTGTGAACGCAGCTGTGAGCCCCACGGCTGTCAGTGTGCGTCCCCACACACGCTTTACAGGCAGGAAAGTGAGGCACCATTTGCTGAGGTCAGCACCGTGTCAGAGCCGGGCCCGGCAGGAAGAGTCGGATTGCTGCAGCCCAGCCCAGGCCGATGTGTCCACTTCGAGTCTGAACCCACCCGGAAGTAACTGAGACACCGGAAGTAACTGAGACTCTGGAAGTGGTCAGCACTTACGATACCTTGCACAACGCGGATGGCACTCGATGAATTGCAAGGCGCAGAGTAGAAGGGCCAGGTCGGGGTGCTGCACCGTGTGGGTGAAGGGCCGTCCTGTCCATCACCGCGGCTGCAGCTCACTGTGGTCTGTCCCCCAAGGGTGCAGGTCCAGAAGCTTGCTGGGGACGCCGTCCTGCCCTCTGCGGGGACCCATCCCGGCTGTGGTGAGTGAGGCCATCCTCTGGAGAGCAGGCCATGGGACAGCAGCCCTCGCCTGCTGGGCCCCCTCTGTATTCGGCCTTCTCCTGTCTCCACTAGGGGCCCAGCCAGGATCCCAGTGTCCTGCAATGGGTCCCCAGAGCCCTGAGCTAAATGAGTTTCTTTCTTTATACTCAGCCCCAGGCATTTTGTGATAGCAACAGAAAATGGACAAGTACGTGGTGACCCTTAGATCATTATGATTATCATCACAATCAGCAAGTCTCAAGGCTGCAGCATAGGCTCCACTTGGGTCACCTCTGAACGTTTTCAAATCCACACTTCCTGGGAAGACGCCTGAAGTCAGCTTTCCTCCACCCAACACCCAGCGGGTATCACCCAGCTCACACAGGTCCAACCGCTAGCGGACGCCCCAGATGCGAGAGCAGCTGTCCATCCTGCAGTGGTCAGTGTGCCCGTCTCGCAGGCAGACACAGCACCGCAGCTCCGAGACCTCTCTGCATGCACACAGGGCCTGAGCCTGTTCCCACACCTCTAGGACTGTGTGAAGATTTTGAACAGCGAGGGCGCCCCGTCCGTCCGCTGACACACTGACCCTACCTAACCCTACGTTTGCCTGTGCCAAGCTGTGAAGAAGCAGCGGACCCCGCACTCTGCCTGGAAGGGCAACTCACAGTTGTTCCCACTCCCGCCTTCCCTCCTGCATCTGGGTGAGGCTGGCTGCTGGGTACAGGCGCTGCAGCCCGGAGATCAGCAGAGCATCATACCCGGCTCAGGAGCTGGGTTTGTTTGCACTGGAGAACACTCCAGGTGTTGGGAAACCACTTCTGATTCATCGCCAAGTTGGAAAACAAAAGGAAGTTGCAGAGTGCCAGGAATGGAATCCCACTAGAAGGACAGAGGGCAGGAAGAAGGGAAAAAGGGAAGGCAGGAAGGAAGAGGGGAAAGTAAAGGAAGGGAAGGAGGGGAGGTAGCCATTCATTGCTTTTTAAGTCTGGCCGGGTTGCGTGCTGACACGAAGGGCTTGTTTTGTTTGCAGTGATGGAGCAGGATGCCCGCTAAAGCACAGGTGACTGCTGGACCCATGGTCCAGGAGAAAGAGGCCCACTTTGCAGGACCCCAACAGCCCAGCTTGAGCTCCGTTTCACAGATGGGGGTGGCTCTGGCTTCACCAGGCCTGGGCAGGCACTGAGCTGGCTGAGAACATGGCCACTGTCCAGTTGGGGACCCCTGTGTCCACCTGCATGCCCAGCTTGTCTACAAGCACGTGCCTGGCTCAGGGACAGAGGATGTCTAGGGTTCCAGGGGAGAGGCCTGCTGATGGCCTGTGCACCCCCCAGGCCCTGACTGCTCCACCCTTGCCCCGAACTCTGAAGAGTCTCAGACAGGACACTGGCCACAGGCATCTGCCGTGCCTGGGACGCTCTCAGGACCCTGTGCTCTCAGGACCCTGTGCACAGATCAGGGACTCAGCCCTTGCTGTGCTGCACCATGCTCAGCGCTATCACCCTTTGTTTCTCGTAAGCCTTGCACCAGGTGCTTAACAAACATTGAATTAGCAATCGAACGCAACAGGATCTCACAGAACTATTGGAAAAATGTACAACAAGGACAAAGCCCCAGAGTCTGAACACAGAGAGGGTGTGGGCTGCTCTGAATGAACATCCCAACAGGTGAAACCACAAAGCAAGACTCTGGGAGCTGGGAAGGATTCCCATGCCATCCAGTCCTTGGAAGACAAATATGGGATTTGGTATGAAAAGTTTCAAATGCATTGGACCCTTGGCTTATGAACTCAATTCATTCAAGAGGGCTGGCTGTAATCAAGTTGGTCAGTGAAGGCTCAGGCTCCCCTACACAACCTTCAAAGTCTCTCTCCTGCACACAGGCAGATCTCAGTGCCCTTAGAGAGACACTAACCCAGGATTTCTCATTAACCTCACACAGGAAAGAGTGTTGTCATGTTCCTTCCAGAACTCCTTAAGGGTTAAATCTGTATCTGAGACCATCTGGAAGCGCAAGCTACCAGCATTCGGGTCATAACTCAAGACTTTGTAAGTTAAAACTAAAAATCTGGTCATAACTCAAATTGCTCATGTCAGGCAGGTCGTAATGAGGGCCCATTGTTTTTCCTAATGCTGTGTAGCATGTCCTTCTAAAAGAAAGAAGCTTTCTATGGGTTAAGGTAAAACTCAAACACTGCTGGCAGAAATACTGAATTTGGTTGATATTTACTTAAAATGTAATTTGTAAACGTACCTAGTAATTCTAAGAATTTATCCTAAAGTCTGTTCTCACACCTCATGAAAGTAGTTCACAACAGCTCACTAACAACTCTAAAAATACTTAAGAGTTATTAAGTCTATCCTAGCAACTCGTAGCCTACCTACTCCAAAGCACTTACTTCTTTTTCAGAACTAGAAAGCTTAGTGATTTAGGAACTCTAGAACTATTTTTAACGTGTCCTAGTAGCAATTAGCAGCTTCAGGTGCCTGGCTCAACTATCTCTGAGGCTAATCAGCTGCACTAGGATTGGTGTAGGCAGAGAAATGGCCCAGACTGCCAATTTGTGAACTCACAAATTTAACAAGCAGCCAGGAAACAGGAGTGGCTTGGACTCTGCTCATGTCCCGGCTAACTGGGGGAAGGAGGAGAATTAGGCACATGATGGGCGTGGCTCTCCGAAGCTGGGACAGGTTCGGACTTGCTGTAAGTGTCCCACAGCTGCCCATCCCATTGAACACCGCGAACCAGTGTCTCCTTGTACAGACCCAGAACGATACCCAGCACAGGGGCCACGCGAGCCTACCACCCACCACCACTGTTCTGTGGATGAATGGAAAGCATGCTGACCACAGATCAATAACACTGAACAACAGCGGGGACAGGTGTGGTGATTTAAAAAAATGGTTTCTGAAAGTTTAATATCAATAATAAGAAAATGTAAGTGGCAGATGATGGAATAAGTTGCAGGCCAGTTAATGTGCCTGTTGCCCACTCTCCTGTGATAAAAACATCCCAGCAAGTGTGAAGAATGACAAGGAGGACCCGAGGTCAAGCTGGCACCTGCACATCTCATTCCACTCAGTCACTGCCTGACAGGTTGGGCAGGGCTGCAAAGGGTGGCTACTTCAGGGCAGAAGTGTGCAGGCGGAGTCTACACTCTGCCTGTCCTCACGTGTGAGATGTCCAGAGCAGCTCTTTCCCGAAGGGAACTCCCCTCTGGTGAAAACAACCCAAGTGTTCATCAACTGATGAACAGAAAACGAAATGCGCTCCATGCACAGAATGGAATATTAATCAGACGTGCAGCACTGGGGATGAACTAGGACACTAGGCTTAGTGAGTAAGTCAGTCAGAAGACGACAAACACGTGAGTCATAGTCACAGGGCCGGGGAAGGAGAGAAAGGAGTTGGTTCTTGATTGGCACAGGTTTCAACTTGGGAAGAGGCAAAAGTTCTGGAAGGTGTGGCGATGTCTACACCGCAAATGGGTGTCCAAATGTTAGTGAGCTTTGCACACAAGAATGGCTAGGATGGCAAATGTCACATTAGCTGTACTTTTCCACCATAATGAAAGAAAGAACTCACCTTTGAAGTTGCCGATGTACAGGCCTGGCAGGATCTAGGAGAGAGACACAGGCGTGAGTGTGGCAGACACAAGCAGACAGCCTTGCACACCGGGAGGGGCCCTTCCGGAGCACATGGCACAGCCACAAGCAGGGCCAGCACAGGCCGAAGAGGCACGGGGACCCAGCACCCCTCAGGTCCTGGCCACTAGGATTCCCTTCAAAGGGCCGGGGTCCTGTCAGCTCACTGAGAGTGGGTCGGGTCACGGGGCGTCCGCTGCGCCTCTCTCCAGGTTCAGGTGCCCTGCTCTGCTACCCGAGGGCTCGCTGCGCTGTGCCCTGGCCCGAGCTGCTCGCTCACACCAGTGATCCCAAGCCTGAGTCTGAGGCTGCGACCCTGCTTGGGGACACCGTGGTGGGCAGGGCTGAGCCTGTCCCTGTGCTAGACAGGGGAGCTCCAGGCACCAGACACAGCCTCTCTTCACAGCTGCGCCGGCTCCAGCCCACAAGGACCATTTAAGGGAGAGCTGAGTGGTGTGTGAACGGCTGAGCCACATGCAAGGCACTAAGAATGCACCCCGCTCCGACACTGATCTCCCTAGTCCTCGGAGGGGACAAGGGGACGCTGGGAGTCTAACAGCAGGTGCTACTCTGGAAGCTAAAACTACATC